AAATCAAGTGGATAACATTTAAATATGAATATTTTTAGTCTCTGCATTTGGACTTAAACTGGCCAACAACAGAATAAAAGAAGCAAGTCATTCTGAGGAAGCTCCCCATCTGCTTTCTTATCTAAAGCTCAGGGGAACAATCCAAATGTTAGATGAGCCTCCAAATTCAGCAAAATCTCTAAGCTAAACTGCTGATACCAACTGTGAGACATCGAGGACCATTATGCAGACCCCACCCCTTCTTTACAGGTATAAGGAAGCTGTAAAGAAGTTTATCACATTCTCTGATCCTAAGTAGGGAGTGCAGGTAGTCACAAAAAAAGATATTTAGTAATAGGAAGTGGCTCAAAAATGGTGGTGGCCAAATCATCCTCTGGGAATTTGAAAGGCATGCACATGCGTAGCTGGGATGGTCAGAGAAACTCATCGCAAATTCTCTATTGGATGCTGTCATGCACATTAGTGCATTTAATCTTTCAACATCCCTGACATGTAGGTATTATTATTTTCATTTATCTGATGAGAAAATTGAAGGTCCCAGAGATTGAGTAACTTGTTCAAGACACCACAGCTAGAAAAATGTAGTCAGGATTCAAACTCAAGTCAAATTATGCCAAGTTGGGGAGCAGCATTATAAGGGAGTGGTGAACTACCAAGGGCCAGGACACAAATACACACTCCAGGAATTCAAGAGTTTAATTTGCAGCTCTATTGCTCTGATCTGGAGGCTTGGGTGGTGTGGAGACAAGCCGGGGGAAGGTGGGGTTTTACTTTGGAGGGCTTGGCTGTAGTCAAGGGGCTCTTCTAACTGGCCATCCGCTCCATGAGATCACAGCCTATGTCTGATATTTTCACTGTGGGGGCCCTCAGCACCTAGGACAATGCCTGATACATGACAAGTGGGAGGAAAAGAGGATGGAGGGGAGGGAGAGAGGAAGGAATCATTGAACTTTATTCCCCTGAAGAGTGATTTGCTGAATGATGTTTTATGAAGGCTAACCTTGACATAGATGTTTAGTATATTGATTGGTAGAACCTGGATATAGAGTTAAATGGTAGAAAGAACATCAAATTTAAACTATATGTTAAAATTTGGATTTAGAGAATTTTTGGCTCATTATCCGTATATGATTGCTATGCAAATTAAAAAAAAGCTAATCATAGCCAAATTCATGCTCCCTACAGCAATGTTATATCTGGTTGAGACTCTGTCTCACCTGGATAAATAATGTGAAATGACTGGAGATGAAGTGCTTAATTGCTTGTTTAATGTTTCTAATAGATACACAGTTGGGACTGCCTTGATGCTGCTCAGCCTTAAAATTCACTCTTTCAAACCTTTTTCCTAATAAATGCCAGGTTATTTTGGTAATCAGGGATGATTATTGTGATAATGGACAATTGCACATGAATCGAGTCGTTAGGCTGTCAGGGTTCAGGGCTTTATGTGATCAGTCAGAAATTTGAGGAAAATAAATTTGAAATTCACTTTGGCCCCTGGGGCCAGAAGAGTGCCTGGTGCTCAATAGATATTTTCCACGTGGATGAATGAGTTTAATAGTTGATCAGATCACTTGAACTTGACCTGGCTATTAGATGGGAATAACAATGAGTTAAAATTACTTAATGATAGACCATAATTTTCTCAAATTAATGTCTGTGTTTTTATTCCTATTTCTACCTCCTCAGTTTAGGTCTTTATCATTTTATAATTGATTTTCTGCAGTTTAGTGCTGGTTTTCCTTTCTCCTATCATTTTCTCTGTCCCTTCCCTGGATTCCCTCAGTAGTTCATGTCCAGATATATAAGCTCCTGGAAATAATTGTGCTGTTTGTTTGTTCATTGGCTTATCCATTCGTTTGTTCTTTCATTTATTCTTAAATTGTCTTTGAGTACCTGCCCTTTAGAAGGGAATTGTGCAGGTACGGTGTGGTGAGGGCAGAGAGGAGGAGCACAGCATCGTAGCACAGAGTCTGCAGCCCCATCTCTCCCACTGCACCCCCAACTCTACGCAACTTTTATTTTTTAAAGTGAAGCTTTCCATTTTTGACTCTAGGGAGTTGGAACATGGGGGCAGGGATAGTTTACTCATTCCGAAGAAACTTCTCATCCTGGTCCTCAAGCCTCTCTTTGCATCTCCCTGTCTTATTCCCTACACCTTCCCCATGATGTGAAACTTGTCTTTCCTTTGTGCAGTAGAGCATTCAATGGTGCCCCAAAACAAACCATGTTTTGCTCGTTGTCCCCCACGTGTCATGCTCATGTTTACCTTGTTGTTCTTGTTGAAGTTGTACGTTCTTGTCTCCTTGGACAGTGTTTCTCCCTTCTTTCTGCCAACCCACTCTTGAACATCCATGTTCTCCTCTGAGCTGTCTTATGCTCTAGCCTACACTTAGAGCTCTCCTTCCTGATCCATAAGATTTTGCCTGTTAGTTGTATTTTCTATTGTGTGATTATTGAATTGTTTCCCATTAATTCTCTCCACCCCTCCGTAGGGATGACAGGTTCCTTATAGACAGTGACTTTATTTTTGTTATTTATGGTTCTCTATATTCCCTGCTCCAGCACTCCATCTTGTTTAACCAGCACTGACCAATGTCAGAGGGTTTGCCAGGCATTTGCTCCTTCCATAGGTGAGGGCTGTGAAGATAGTGAAAATGAGACTATCTCTTAATTATTAACATTTGTTGGTTTTTGTTTTTTTATTGACAGGGTCTCACTCTGTTACCTGGGTTAGAATGCAGTTGCACCATATAGCTCACTGCAACCTCAAACTCCTGGGTTCCATAGTTCCTCCTGCCTCAGCCTCCCAAATACCTGAGACTATAGGTGTACCATCATGCCCAGCTAATGTTTGTATTATTTTTGTGTGTGTGTAGGCAGGGTCTCACTATGTAACTCAGGCTGGAGTAGAACTCCTGGTTTCAAGGGATCCCCCCCACCCTGCCTCCCAAAGAGCTATGATTACAAATATGAGCCACTGAGCATGGCTCAACATTTGTTTTTTTAATGGCACTTAATAATAGAATACAAAGAATGAGAAGACAGCTCTAATTTTTTAAATATTCTCAAGAGATTAAAATGAAGATTTATCTTACAAAGCTGTTTTGTTAGAGGCTTCCTTTGACTCATGCTGCCATAATTATTTCATTATTGCTGTTCCTGTTAATTTTATTGATTTAAACCAGAAAATTTAAAATTACTATTGGCTTTTATGAAAGTCCATTATTTTATGACCCATTGAGAAGGCTATTTTGTTGCAGAATTTAAAGGGAGCTGAACAGGCCTTAAGAAATCAGAAGGAATTTGGATATTTTAAAGCCCAGTCTGCTCTCCTGACCAGGGGTCTAGATTAGGAACATGGAAAAAATGCAAAAAGAAAGCCTCGAGAGACCAAATGTTGGCTCACTGAGCAGGTCCTCATCGGTGAATGGTGCGGGTGTGTGCAGAGGTCATTCTCAGGCTGGGGCATTATCATCACAGCACCTTTCATGAACCTTGAGGGAAACATTTCTAGACTGCTTTACCTGGCAATGACAGCAAATGATTTTCAGTCATTTTATCCCATGTGTGGTCATTATGGAAACATTTCCAGCCAAGCTTGGGCTGGATCTCTCCTCACAGTTTGAAGCTGTGATACTTGTATATCCATATTCTGTGACAGCTTGTAAAATCGTTTTCTGGCCAAATTAGGTTTTCTACTGGGATTATTTTATTTCAGGTAATAAATATGGAATATACAAAGTGTCACCTGCTAATTGACACAAACAAGATTTTGAAAAGATTGATTTTTTTTCTTCTCAAAAATATTGATAAAGATGTTAACTTTGGCCATCATTAAGATTTTTTTTTTCTATTTGTAGCAAGGACTATGGTCGGGTAACAAGTAGTCTAAAGTATATTTCCAAAAGTGCTAATTTGATTTCTGGGTGACATTTTATTGTTGACAAAATGAGCACTCTATCTTAAATCTCAGAAACTACATAAAAATACTAAAATCACATACCGTCAAAGCCAGAAACATAAAGGAAAAGACTAATAATTTGATTACATTGAAAACTTAGATCTCTCTCATACAACAACAAAAACATACCCCATAAACAAATATAAAAGATAAAGACAAACTGAAAAAATATATTTACAACATATGATGAGGGGATTATATCCCTAATATATAAAGAGCTCCCATAAATTAATAAGAAATACAAATATGGCAATAGAAAAATACAAATAGCCAAAAAATACATAAAAGGATATTAAAACCCATGAATAACCAAAGAACTACAAATTAGAACAGTAATAGAAATTTTCTCCAATGAAATGAACAAATACTTAAAAAATACTCAGTGTTGATAGAGAAATATAGAAACATACATCTTTATAAACTTTTGAGCGGTTGCCCAGCTAGCTTAGGCAGTAGAGCATGAGACTCTTAAACTTTTGATAGTGATAAAAACTTGTCTAACACATTCTATATATAGAATCTTAAAGATATATATATATATTTAAGTCTTTTTACTAAATTTCATATATATATGTATTTATATATATTTATATATATTTCATATACATACATATATATATATACACACACACACACCTGTTAGGTTAGAAATTCCACTTCTGGAAATTTATTTTAAGGGCATACTTGAATAAGCACATAAAAATGTGTACATGAAGATATTTGTCACAGCATTGTTTATAATAGAAATTTCAATCACTCTAAATTATGCTGATAGTGGTTAGTTTAATACTTACAGGTATGACACCACAGATTACCTACAGGCATTAAAACCGATGATGGAAATTTTTAACATGGGAAAATATACCCCATGTGAAAAAAAGGTGCACATAGAGAAAAAGTTTAAAGGCTATAAATGAAAAATAATCATGCTTGTCTTTGATTATTGGTGAATTACTAATTTAAAAAAGAAAAAAAGTAATAAATCTGTTTTTATTTGGGAGAAAACATACCAAAATGTGTTTCTGTCTATACTCACAGATATTCTTAATACAAATCATTTTATAAAGATGACGTTTCCACATCTGCTTCTTAAGGTCACTCCAAGTTCATGTTCACAGTCAGGCTATCAGAGGGTGTGGACATCTTTGCATGGAAAAAGGATGGTTAATCAGTGAGACAAGCATGGATTTAGGTGTAGATTTTCTCAATAAATATTACTTTGAATTCTAAAACAATGCTATTGTCTGAGAATGAGAATACAAATCATTAAGAACAAAGCAAGGGATGAGGGATGTGTATCAACCAGCCAGGAGTGATGTCTTCCCCTAAAAACATGCTCTGTGAACTTCTGGAAGCATTTAACACCTCCAGCAGTGTTTTACAGGCATTTCCCATCGACTGGCAAGCTCTTTCAAACTGGGAAATAGAGCTCATTCACTCATTCAGCCACTTGAGAAGCATGCATTGAGCACTCACTGTGTGCCAGGCACTGTGCTGGGCACCAGAAATACAAAATTGGATACATACAAACCTTGCACTCAAGGAGCCCATGCAGAGGGTGGCAGGCAGCTTAATCGGACAATTTTAGTATAGTGTCATAAGCACCTTGTGAGGGCTTAGGGTTGAGCTTAGGGTGCTTTGGAAATTCTGTCCTAACCTATTTGCTAGGGATTAGGGAAGCCTTTCTGGAGAGTATATCCAAAGGGATACCTGAGATAGCAGCAGCAGTTAGTGGGGCATGGGGCATGCCACAGGAGACCAGCAGAAGGAAGTGTTCCAAGCACGGGGACCATTTTGTGCAGAGCCTGGAGGTGAGAGAAAATTGGAGGGATGGAGCTTTGAGCAGGAAAAAAAAAAAGTGCAGTGAGCTGAGGCTGGAGGGTGAGCAGGGAGCAGAGGTTTTCAACCCTGTCTACACATTAACATCACTGAGAGATTAAAATAAACAACAAGAAAACAAATAAAAAATAAGGCTATGCCCATGCACCATCTCAGTCTGATTTAACTGGCCTGTGTGTAGTGGAGGTGCCTTTGAACCTAACAGGATGCCCTCCCTGCCACCTGCCTGCTTGATGCCCCCAAATGCAGCTCCTTCCTTTATCTGATAGGCCCCAGGGTGATTGCAGGGGGCAACCAGGATTGGGAAACACTAAGGAGAGTGTGAAGGGCCTTGTAAACCAGGCTAAGAAGTTTGGATTTGCCTCAAGGGCAAGGGAGTTGCTTTGTTGAATAAAGGCATGTGCCATAGGCCACCATTAATAATAATGTTTAAAGAGGCTTTGGCATATTTGCCAAAGTTCTGGGATTTTTATGGTAACCACCTGGGCATATAAATGTTTTGTGCAAAGGGGTGGAGTATAAGGAAACACAAAAATAGATATGCTATAGAACGGGTTATAAATCTATACTTCGGTATAGTCAGAAGATGCATTCCAGAATAGGTGTATGTAAATTGAAAACTTGTAAAGCACATCATAAAGGCATCTTTCATAGGGCACTGCTATTAAAAATCAGTGAAGTAAAACCTGCTGAAATGTTAACAATAACTCCTAATTGATTTGTCCTACATTATTTGGATTTTTGTATACAATATTGAGTTTTTAAAAGATAGTGCACACAGATAATTTGCTTATTTATGTAAATGATAAAATACATTTTATTTCATCAGAGGAGAACAAGTTGGGGAACTTTGGAATAAACATGGACTCATTTTTAGACTCAAATTTAAAGAGATACAATTTTGGGGAAATGACAACCTTCTAGAGACTCTGTTTCCTCATTGATAAAATAGGAATAACACACACACACCTTGCAAGTGTGTAGTAAAGGTTATAGACAAGTAAAGCAAGTGAGGTATCCAGTATAAAGCCTGATACGTAGTAGGCACTCAATAAATTGCAACTATATTAACCTGCTTTCAAAAAGAGTGTTAGTTTCTTGGAATTGAAAATCCTCCCTCCTTGCCTAGATACAGTTTCCAAAACAGATTTTATGGGCAAAAATGGTTGGTTGTTGCTATGTATTTCTCATTTATTTAATAACGTTCTGGTATCTAAGCAGAGCCAGAGAGAATAATTCAGCATTACCTATACAAGATGAAAATGATTGGTTTTGGTAGGCAAGCTCCAAAACTCAGAAACCCTGTTACCCAATTCCAAGTGGTTAATTGGGAATGCATTTTATAGCTCACTCTTCCTTGTGGGCCCCCTGGGAAGCAACAGAATTCTCATGCTCTGGGTCAGATGAAGCTTGAGAGCAATTTTTGAAGCTTTTCTATGGTTAGAGTAGATGACTGGCAACACCTGCTTTGAAAATGTTCCAAGCCAAAATGATTTCTGCCGTGTTGCATATCCTGGAACCCTGGGGACCGAGCAGAACATTTTTCATGGACTGGAACTGGCCCTAAGATGCTGTCAGAGGGCAATTCTGGCTGTTCTTGCTGCTGGGACTCTTGCAGCCCACCACATGGGGGTGGTCGTAGATACCTCCAGATTTTATAATAGATGCCAAACCTGCCACCTGCCTGAGCCATTTCCATCTTTGATCTCCTTAATCAAGAATCAGCTCTGGGGACCCCTTAGAGGGGATAATTTCAAACTCTCCGTAATCCAGCTTAATACCTGCTAGTAGTTTTCCATTGATTTTTAGAGTAAAATCCTGGTCTTCATATAGGGTGAGCAGATATCGTGGTTTGCCTGACACAGTCCCTGGTTTGTACCTCTTGTCCCTATGTCCTATGTAATTAGTAAAGCACCGTCTGTTACTCTCAGATGTACTTTGAGTTAGACATATACTATGTAATCATCCAAACTACCAGCCCTATGTGGCCTGTCCCCTGCCAACCTGCCAACCTCCCACACTCATCTCCCACTTCCCCTTTGCTCACATTGTGCCAGTCATTCCAGCCTCCTTGCCATTCTTTGAAGATGTCAGACTTGTTTCCGTCTAAAAGCATTTGTCCTTGCTGGGTGGTTCAGTCCCCAGCTCTTTGCATGGGTTGCTACTTCTTGTCATTCTCAACTCATGTCACCTCCTCAAAGATACCTTTACTGATTACCTTGTTCCAAAGTAGCCTCCACTCCTGTCCACACTCTCGTGTCACCTAGTTTTATTTCCTTTGCTTTATATCATAATCTGAAATTACTCTCTTATTTACTTGGTCATTGTTGATCTCCCTCCTCTAGAATGAGTTCCATAAAAACAGGACTCTTGTGTGCTATGTTTGCTATTGTTCTCAACTCCTAAAACAGAGCCTGTCCTGTAGAAGGTGGTCAGTAAATTTTTGCAGACATAATGAATGAATGTACAAATCCAGCTTTGTCAAAAAGTGAGCAGAGAGAAATGGTTAAAATAGAGGATTGTCTAGACATATAACTCATTCACCTTTTAAATGAGATTAATTCACATACCATATACTTTACTTATTTAGTGTATATAATAATTTTTAGTATTTTCACAGACTTGTGCATCCATCACCCCATTCAACTTTAAAATATTACTCCAAAACAGTAAACTCAAACTTCTTAGCCATCACCTCAAGTCACCTATAACCCCCAGCCCTAGGCAACCAGCAATTTACTTTCTATCTCTATATAGATTTGCCTATTCTGGACATTTTGTATAAATGAAAACATGTAATATATGGTCCTTTGTGAATGGCTTTTTTTATTTAGCAAGGTTTATTTTCAAGGTTCTTCCATGTTGTAGAATATTATTTATTTTTTCAGATTTCCAAATTCTATCCCTGGATCAAATTAGACCACTAGAAGGCTACAACCTGGGATGGGGGCAGTTTATCTCAGAGGTTTTTAATCATGGCTGCACATCAGAATCCCTCTCCTCTTCCCTCGTGGCACTTTTAGAAAAGCCAGAATATCAGGCTCCACTCTAGAGTCTATGATGTGCAGCCTGAGATGAGAACCATTGGTTTAGCTAATTACCTTCAGTGAGTTGTTATTTAATGTTATGCATTTGACTTTTACCTGATATTGCAAGTAAAGGTCATATGAAACTTGCTGCTGCAAGATATTGTCCCCTAACTAGGTTGTTGGGGAAGCAGATCCTGGACATTTGTCATTGAACAAGGATAGATGCTGCTTATAGAGCAATGAAAAAACACAGAGCTAGGGCTCGTGACATGCTTTGATGCCACCTCAAGTTTTTTTCTTTGGGATGTGAGGCAAGTTGTTTAATCTCTTAGCACCTGAGTTATCCTATCTGTAAACTGACCTATCTCCAAGGGTTATTGGAAGCATTAAAAGAAATAATGTATGAAAAATATACCAAAAACTATAAAATCTATAAAAGTATAATTTATCCTTATTATTGTTAAAAAGTAGAATCATGGAATTTTAGGTTTAGAATGGGATTGAGTAAAAGGAGGGGGCTGAAAATCAAGAGCATTGGTTCTTCTGGTGGTGCCACAAGCTAAGCAGCATCTTCACTTACTTTGATCTCTCTCTATTCTTTAAAATGTTGTGGTTGGACCAGGTGATAACTAAAGCCCCTTCAATGGAAAAATTAAAAAAAACAGATGGAAAAATTATGTTAATCAATGACTCGATGACCTATTATAGAGACTTTCCTGATACCTCCAATGACTTCCAGTGGAATGGGCTGCCTCCACCTTGACATTCATTATAATACACTCATAACTACTTCAATTTAGTTATTAGTCAAATCCAATCATCCCTGTGAAATTCACCTCCCAGTACTCTCTCCCCAAAGGTAACTTTATTATTATGAAAAATTTCCGAACATACAGAAAAGCAGAGAGGATGGAAGGAACGACCATAAACTCATCTTACATAACAATTTGCCATATTTCTTTATGTTTTTTCCTGGACTATTTTTTTTTTTTTTTTTTTGAGATAGAGTCTCGCTTTGTTGCCTAGGCTAGAGTGAGTGCGTCAGCCTAGCTCACAGCAACCTCAAACTCCTGGGTTCAAGCAATCCTGCTGCCTCAGCCTCCCAAGTAGCTGGGACTACAGGCATGTGCCACCATGCCTGACTAATTTTTTCTATATATATTAGTTGGCCAATTAGTTTCTTTCTATTTTATAGTAGAGACGGGGTCTCGCTCTTGCTCAGGCTGGTTTCGAACTCCTGACTTCGAGCAATCCGCCCGCCTCAGCCTCCCAGAGAGCTAGGATTACAGGCGTGAGCCACCGCGCCCGGCTTTTCCTGGACTATTTTAAAGAAAGTTACTGATAATATTTCATTCTAAATATTCCGGAATACATACATTAAAATGTGACATTTTTCTTCATAACTACAATAGCATTATCTCACCTAATGAAATTAACAACAATTCTCTAATATCAGTTAACACCCAGCCCATATTCAGATTTCCACTATTTTCCCAAAATGTCTTTTATAGGTACTTTGTTCAAACCAGAATGTACTGCAATGTATGTATTTACAGTGTCTCTTAGTCATGAGTTCCCCCCTTAGCTTTATTTGCAATGAAATTGACCTGTTGAAGAGACTTGACTCATTTTTCTGCAAGACATGCTACTTTGGATTTGTCTGTTTCCATGTGGTGTCATTTAACTTTTCCCTCTATTCTCTGTATTTGTTGGATGACAGGAGATATATCTAAAGCTTGACTGATTCAGGTTAAACAAATTTGGCAAGAATTCTTTGTAACTGACACCATGTGTTTTATTTGCACCCACCAGGAGGCCCTGAACGTTCTACCAGCAATGCAGTGGCCCCCACCTGTCCCTAGAATGTTCATTCATTGGCATTGGTTACAAAAGCACTGGAGAAGTAACAAAGTAGAACAACTAAACATTTTATTTGA